CCCTGAAAGCAGCCAGTGCTCCTAACCTCTGCCCTTTTCTCCAGTCCCAACCTTGTTGCTTCTATGCCAAGTTGGATAGGTCTTTGCTTTCCAAAGGACAAAGGATTAACATCTGAACCTATTCACTTTTATGAATTGGGAGGTTAGGGAAGCAGAAGATGGCAAATGCCTGTAACCTCAACACTTGTGAAGTATAAGCAGGAAGATCAGGAGTTCAAGGCCAGCCTTTGTTACACAGTAAATTTGAGGTCACTCTGGAGTATATGAGACAGGAAAAAAAAAAAAAAAGCAAAGAAACCATTTCTTGGAATACAGTCAAGCTAGCAGCAGGCAATAGACTCTAATCAAAGCTAGATAGCTTTCCTTGACAGTCAACTTGATGTGGCCCAGGCTCAAGATGTGACCCCTCTGGACGCACCTGTGTTTTCAGGAAGGGGAGAGGACCTTCTCTCGCCTGTCACGGGTACCCAGATCTCGAAAGCAACGGTTGCCTGCCTGCCTGCCTCTCTTTGCTTTGGAGGGCCTCTATTGCCGCTGCTGTCACTACCCTTCTGCCGCCCTTCACTGACACTGGAACTCAGCTTCCTCCACCTTCCGCAGGCTGCAGCTCCCCAGGGATCCTCCAGACATTCAGCATAAGCCTGGAACTGCTGAGGCATCCAGCCTCCTGAGTTCTCAACCCACCCTGTGTTCCAGCCACTGCTGTGATCCCAAGACCCCAGCACATAAGCCAATCTAGTCTGGTCTTTTTGTTATTGTTTCTTTTTAAGATTTATTTTATGTGTATGAGTGTTTGGTTGCATGTAAGTATGTATGTATACCGTGTGCATGTTTGATGCCTATGAGGGTCAGAAGAGGGCTCAGGTCCCCTAGGATTGGAGTTACAGACAGCTGTGAGCCACCCTGTAGGTGCTTTGTAACCCAACACTCAGGAGGTGTCTCCAGGGCAGGAGGTCAAGGTCATCCTCATTTGTGCAAAGTTCCAGGTTACCCTGGACTAGATCTCAAATGCCAACAAACACACAGAGAAACAAAAGCCACAAGGCAGGAAAGGCTACTGTAAGACAGAACCCACACAGGTGGCACTGGTCAGGCAACGACAACGTGCAGTGGAGGAGATACAGCAAGAGGGGAAGTCTAGGGTTCGGGTGTGGCTCAGTGGTAGATCACAAGACTCTGGGTTCCACAGCCAACACTAGGGGGAAAACGTCAAGGCAGTGTGAATATAGGAACCCGATACTGGAAGAAGGAAGAGGCTTCCCACGGAACGCAGAGCAAAGTTCCTGGGGTCAGAGGTTCCCTAGGAAAGGCAAGGAGTCAGAGAAACCAGGAAATGGGAGGACAGTGGGAAAAGAAAGGGCAGGGGAGAGGAGGAAGCAGGTACTGAACCAGCTAGAGAGGAACTCCATCATAGGGCTGACCTCTGGGCTGAGGTCACAAGGTCAAAATTAAATGGAGAACCAGCATGGCTGCTCTTCCTGTGATTCTAGCATTAGGGAGGTGGAGGCAGAAGGACGGAGTGTTAAAGGCCAGTGAACTTAAATCCAATTCAGGTCATTAAAGCTAAAAACAAAAGGCAAGTATGAAATGATACCCCATTTTTTTTTTCTGAAGGCAACTTAAAGAATAGAAGAAAAAAGACTAGACGTTTGAGCCGGGGCGTGGTCATGCATACGTGTTGTCTTGGCTCCTTGGAAGGCTGAGGCAGGAAGATAGCCTGGAGCCCAGGTGTTCCAGAGAAGCCTCGACTAGCAACATAATAAATCCTAACCTCAAAAAATACAAATAAAAAGTATATAAAGCCAAACAAGCAGAAGAGAGCATGGAGCTGCAGGCCTTTGATGCCAGCAGATCTCTGTAAATCTGAGAGCAGCCTGGCCTACACAGTGAGTTCCAGGACAGCCAAGGCTATATAATGTGACCCCGCCTTTAAAAAAGAAAAAAAAAAAGACAAGGTGTAGTGACACCTTACCTGTAATCCCAGTGCTCTGGGGGTCAGTCTGGAGGACCAGGAGTTCACGATCATCCTCAGCTACACAGGGAGTTTGAGGCCAGCCTGGTCTCCACGGGACCCTGCCTCAAAATAAGTAAGTGAAACTCCAGAAGATCTGTAGATTTCACCAGCTCTCCACACCTGCCCTGTGGCAGCCTGGAGCGGCCACTGCCCTCGGTTTCCACAGCTCTTTGGCCTCCTCAAGCTCTGAGCCTTTTCAGGATTGCAGGTTCTGGGTCTCGGACTGAGGCTGGCTGAAGCTCACGTCCTCTGGTGCTGGGATCACAGGTGTGGCTGCCTCGCCCAGCTTGCCCTGTGCCCACGTGCTTAATTTAACATCATGATTGCATGTATAGTGTGTGTACTCAACTAGGAAGCCAGTTCTATTCTTACACCATTTTCATCCCAGGAATCAAATTCCAGGCGTGGCAGCAAGCCCTTCTACACTGACCCCTCTCACCAGCCCTCTCCGGCGTTTTCTCATCTGCGGAGGCTACGGGGCTCTGGGAGAAGCACACACGGTGTGTGGAGGGGTTTGCTCAGATATTTGCTCAAAGCCACGAGACATCACTGGGACATGAGAACGATAGTTCCTCGTCGGCTCCTCAAGGAGGGACCGGCCAGATGAAAATGACTGTTTCATACATTCCAAACTTTATTCATCAGGTCACTGCGGCCAGATCACACTCAAAAGTGGAGGGAGGCTGGAGAGGGGTTCCACACTGTGGGAGGGGCTGGCTTTTGCTCACGTTGACTTTTTTTGAATTTTTTAAAAAGAGCACAATAATTTATTAAGTATCATTAACATAATATTAATTATACACAATAATAGGTTCCATTATGACGTTTCTTACACATATATAATGTATTGGGCTCACATTCACCCCATCATCTCTCGTCCCTTCCCTCTGACCCCTGCCCCATCCCGACAAGTCTTTCTTTTTTCTTCCATGTGTGTGCATTTACCTCCTACTTCAAAATTTTCAAAACTGTGTGCGTGATGTGTGTATGGGCTAACACGTATGTATGAAAAGACTGTAGAGATCAGTTGGGCATAGTGACGCACACCTTTAATCCCAGCACTCGGGAAACAGAGGCAGGTGGATCTCAGTGAGTTCAAGGCCAGCCTGGTTTATGTGCCCAGCACCAGGATGTCCAGAGTTACATAGTGAGACACTGCCTTGGTGGCGGGGGGGGGGGGGGGCCGGCAGAACTGTGGAGGTCAGAGGACAACTTGGTGCAGTTGATTCTTTCCTTGCACTGTGATGTGGGTTCCAGGCACCAAATTCAAGCTGCCCAGCTTCATTGCAGGGGCCTTTTCTAACTCATTTCTCCTTTGGCGTCTCTGTTGTGCGTGGGTGGATCTGGGTTTCCTTAGGGTTCCTTGTATGAGCGTAGAAGCCTTACCAGTGGCTACCCCACTGAAGAAACTGCCTCCCCGTCCTCCAGCAACTGTTAACACTTGCAGGACCTCTAGGATTATGTAGATTTATTTATTTTTTCACGTGTGTGTGTGTGTGTGTATGTGTGTGTGTTTATACAAATCAAAGTGCAGTCACCCTCAGAAGCCAGAAGAGGGCGTCAGATAACCAGTAGCTGCAGTTACAGGCAGTTGTGAACTGCCTCATCTAAGTCCTGGGAACCAAACCTGGTCCTTTGCAAGAGCCGGTCCATGCAGTCATAACCACCAGGGTGTCTTTCTGGCCACTGGAATTATGTTCTCTTTCTCTGGAATTCATTTTTTAGAAGGGGCATTTTATTTTAGACAGAGCCTCACACTTTAGCCCAGGCTGACCTAGGACACCCTATTCAAACTCATTGCAATCCTTCTGCCTCAGCTTTGTCAGTGCTGGGTTTACAGACATGATCTGCCACACCAGGACTTTAAAAAGCTTTACTACATTTATTTACTTATTTATTCTGGGGGGGGGGCAGCAACTCATATGTGGAGGTCAGTGGGCAGCTTTTGTTGAGTTAGTTCTCATCTTCCGCTCTGTGGGTTCCGGGCTGGAACTCCGGGTTCTCAAAGCTTGCCAGAAAACACCATTCCCTTCTGAGTCATCTTGAAGGCCCATTGCCAGGCTGTATTCTTTGGAATTCTTTGGTTGTTATTCAGGTTTGGTCTTTGTTTTTAGAGACAAGGTTTCTCTATGTAGCCTTGGCTATCCTGGAGCTTGCTATATATAGATCAGGACAACCTTGAACTCACAGAGATCCACCTGCTTCTGCCACTCAAGTAGTACCGGAAGTAAAGAAGTGAGCCACCAGGCAGACCCAGACTTATTTTTCTTTGGAATTCTAAGAACAGTCTTGACTCCTCTACCCTGGAACGTATTTATTTATGAAGGAGACAGAGACCCGTGTCTTGAACTTGCCCTGATCCTACGTTCTCCCCACAGCCTAGGATTACAGGTGTGCCCCTGGTTTGTTCCCACCTGGGTTTGGGACCCGGGGCTTTGTAGACTTTGGCAGCAAGCACCGTCTGAGCCATGTCCCCTGCCTCCCTGCAAACCAGCGAACTTTGTTGTTTGAAAGAACAGGGAGTCCTCCAGTATGCTGAAGAGGGTGATTCGGCCGTCCCTCTGGGACCCCCCCTCGGCCTCAAGTCCGAATTGTGAAGGCCCATTTTACAGGTGGCTGGCACGTGTAGGAGTCAAATCCCACCCCATCCTGCTACTGGGGATGGAACCAGAGCCACTCTGGTATTAGGCAAGCTCTCCGCGGCTCGGTCACCATAGCCCCTTCTCACCCATTTTAAAGACCTGGTGACTGATTAGAGACATCTCACCTGGCTAGGGAGTCCCACTCGATCCAGGGCTGGACCTCCCCAGCGCGACCACCAGGGGTTGTGGGCACCCCAAGAGGCAAGGCAGGTGGTAACGAAAACAGGTCCAAGGACCTCCTCGTCGTCTGGGAGTCTGAGCCCTGGAGGTAAGGTGCTGAGGCAGGGGCGGGGCGGGGAAATCGAGGCACCCGCCCTCCGCCCACCAGGACTCAATAGGGCTGGCGGGGAGCTGTAGGCAAAGGCTGGCCGGCGCCGCCTCTTGACTAGTGCAGTCTGGAGCGATCCGCCCGCGGATCGGCTGCTCGGCTCGGTCGGCACGGCTTGGCCTGGACCCTGGACCCACTGGCGAGGTGAGACCGGCCGGGCCAAATCCTTAGCTCTACCTCCGACGGGGGATGGGTCTCTGCCTGTTCAGGTCACCCACTTCCTTCCTGTTCGCCTCAGCTGAGAGGTGCGAGTGGGAAATTCACAGCAAGCCCTGCACTGAGTGACCTGGGGCGAGTCGCGGACCCTCTCTGAGTTTTTATACGAAGCACTGAACGAAGAATTCCGGGATCCGCACTAGCAGAAACCGGAGGGGCTTGGTGGTGAGTGCTGAGGGAACTGAGTCTGAGGAGTATGGGCGGTCCGTGCAGCCGAGGTGGGAGGTAGGGTGTGAGAAGCTGGCCACACCTACCACAGTGCTGGACTCCGCGGTCAGATGGTGGGTGGGCAGACAGCCGCTGAGGGTGCTAGGGGTCAGAAAGCTGCAGCCACGTGGTATGTCCTTTCTGGAAGTTCCTCAAGCTGGAAGGGGGGTTGGGAGGCCAGGGAAGATCATGGATAGAACTTCCTGGGAAAGGCAGTCAGCGTTGCTGTTTATGGGGGCGAGATGAACACAAACACAGAACTCACCTTAGGGAGTCAGCAGGACCCTCCAAGGTGTACAAAACAGACATGTCACATGGGTGCTACGGAAGAATTCAGGCCTGTAATTCCAGCACTTGGAAGGCAGAGACAGTAGCTCTGGAGTTCGAGGCCATCCTCGGCTACATAGGGAGTTTGAAGTCAGCCTGGGCTACTTGAGACTCAAGGAGGAAAAAGAATTGGAGTGTATGTCACAGACAAGCCACTCAGGTTTCTCAGGTCCAGAACTCGCATGCCGAGCAGAGGCGCCCACTCTGTCTGTCTGGTTCAGATGAACGCAGAAAAGCGACAGCTAGTGATAGGCAGCCAAGCATGTAAGGACACCAAAGTGAAACGGATCAGGCACAGAGCAGCCTCATGAGAGTGCACAGACACTCAGACACTGGGACCGATGGATGCATGCCCAGCACACATACAGGCAGCCCCTGGCACGCAGCCCTCGAAGTGTGCTAACTCTGAGAGATTTCTCACGGCCCAACCCGGCCTGGATGCACGCGCCACCCCCTCCTCCAGCCCCACGTCCAGTTCTGGGGAAGCCCAGTGCTCACATGACCCGAGGGGAGGGCTTCTGACAACCCTTGGAGAAAATGCATCATCTTTCCCAACGGATGCACTTCTGCCCCAGGGAATAAAGACTCGGTGATCTCCACTTCTGCTCCAGGAGCCGGATTGCCTCTTGCAGCCTGCCAAGGTGAGTGCCAACTACCAGAGGAAGGTGGTGAAAGAGGCCTATGGGGCCACCCTTCTCTAGCTTCTTGGCTCCTTGGCCAGGGCCAATTGGTGCTGCTGTGTCTTTGGGACTGACAGCTATGATGGCTGCTCTCGTGTGTGTGTGTGTGTGTGTGTGTGTGTGTGTGTGTGTGTGTGTGTG